TCGCTGGCTGCTTATATAGTTTAAATAAATATATATTTATATATATATATCTTGTTATCTGAGCAGAATTCCTTAGGTTTCACTTTGTTTCAATTGATTGAATGAAATTCGATGGTATTTTTGGGGGTTTCTGTTGCAGACTTTTCGATTGAAGGAATGTGTGAAACAAAAGACTTGAATGAGACCAAGAACTGATCGAAGTTTAGCATTGAAATTATTTCATTAAAAAGTAAAGCTATTATATTTGATTAACACTGAAAGAAATCTCCCCGAGGAGGTATATTAAAAGCTAAAAATCTTCAAGTTTGAAGTGGAAATTTTAATTGAAACAAAGCCTTAAGTCTGATTGAAGCCAATGGAAGCTGCTTCTGTGAGCTAAAATCTTAGGTATATAAATAATCTATATATATAAAAATGCTCTGTTCGTGTCTACATCCTTCATAGACTCGAAAAGTTCTGAACCGTTTAAGCCCAAATTTTTACACAACATGCGTTGAGGTTCCAGCTCGGTTATTGACTACTTTTGATGTTGATAGCTTATCTGCGGTGGCGAATATATCTATTTTTTTAGCGTTTCCAAGTGCCCCTACTGCTGCGCCATCTACAGGCAGCCAGCTGAATCAAAGCATTTCCTGTCAAACATTCAAAACATATTGAAAGAAGAAACTTCAAAAGTTCTGAACCGTTTATGCCCAAATTTTTAGAGAACATGCGTTGAGGTTCCAGCTCGGTTATTGACTACTTTTGATGTTGATAGCTTATCTGCGGTTGCGAATATATCTATTTTTTTAGCGTTTCCCCGTGCCCCTACTACTGCGCCCTCTACAAGCAAATCAAAGCATTTCCTGTCAAACATTAAAAACATATTGAAAGAAGAAATTGGAGATACAAATTTTATTTTTTGTTCAGGTTCAGTAAGAAACGAAGTCATGCCACCAAAGAAGTCGAGATTGGGTCGTCGTATTCGCAATACAGAAGCAAAAAGACGTAAGATTACGAATATGACTGACGAAGAACGGGCCTCCATCCGAGAGACGCGGCTGCGCGATGAACTTTTACTCATACAAGTTAATGGTTCGGAGGACCGATTGCATTCATATATTGAAATGTCGTCAGTTGTTTCATCAGTACATTGTCGATATGTATGCAAAAATTGAAACAACGTTTGCTGTTCCTCCGATTGAATCAGAAGAAACTTCGGTCCGAGGAATATATCCATTTGCGGGATGCTGTGATGAATGACCGTAATACAACCAACGTTGGAAAGCTCACGATTTTGCCATCCTCATACATAGGTAGTCCGAGCCACATGCATGAATATGCTCAAGATGCCCAGGCATATGTTCGTTGCTACGGCCGTCCAGACTTATTTATCACCTTCACATGCAATCCAGCTTGGGACGAGATAGTTCAGCTGTTATTTCCTGGACAATCATATAGGGATAGGCATAACATCACAGCCCGTGTTTTTAGACAAAAGCTCAAGTCACTGATGGATTTCATTGTGAAACATGGAGTTTTGCGATCTGAGCGGTGCTGGATGTATTCAGTAGAATGGCAGAAGAGAGGATTGCCGCATGCGCACATACTGATTTGGCTGTATGATAAAATTACTCCAGACGAAATTGACAATGTGATATGCGCTGAGACTCCACGGGCAGAGGTTGATACAGATTTGCATGCAGTTGTCATCAAGAACATGATCCATGGCCCATGTGGTACCCTCAACCGAAGTTCACCATGCATGGTAGACGGGAAGTGTTCCAAGCGATATCCTCGAGCATTTACAGCCAACACCGTAACAGGGGACGATGGATATCCTCTGTATAGGAGACGGTCAACTGAAGATGGAGGGACTTCGGCAACTTTAAACATGAGAATTGGTGATATTGAGGTAGACAATCGTTGGGTGGTTCCATACTCAACACTATTGTCAAAATCATACAAAGCGCACATCAACGTAGAATATTGCAATTCCGTGAAATCGATTAAATATATCTGCAAGTACGTGAATAAAGGCAGCGATATGGCAGTTTTTGGTGTTCAGGCAGAAAATGGGGACAGCAATGCAGTACGAGTTGTCGATGAAATATCTCAATACCAGGCTGGAAGATACAAAAGCAGCAACGAGGTTGCATGGAGAATTTGTTCGTTCCCCATTCATGAACGCTATCCAGCTTTAGTTCACTTGGCAGTCCATTTGGAGAATGGTCAACGTATCTATTTCACAGAAAGAAATGTGCAAGAAAGAGTCCTGAATCCGCCAGCGACAACTCTGACTGCCTTCTTCACCTTATGCCAGGAAGATGATTTTGCCGGAACATTGATGTATTCAGAAGTGCCCTCTTAACTACAATATGCCACAGAGAAACGTGGCAGGGTACAGCTAGTAATATATATAAATATTAAGTTGGTATATAAGAGAGCTAAAATTTCAATCAAATACTTATTTCTCTCTGTGCAGCTACTCAATATATCCCTAATTTTTCACACAGTTGGCTTTCTCATTTTCCAGAAATCGAGTGCAATTGTTTTTTTGAATGCACACCTGCACACACCCCCGTATTTTTTAGTGGGGGGTATTGGGTCGAATGAATTGGATTTTATTTTTGTATCTGCATTTTCTCGGATTTTTCACTTGTTCTTGTTCGAGAAAAAAGAAGAACAACAGCAGCTACAGCATCATCTTTCGGTTCACCGCAATGCAAAGAAGTCTTGTTTTTTCTTTTTTAGCTTTTTGTAGTTTTCAGTTTTTTGCTTTCCATGTTGTTTACTTTTCACGTTCTCGTTTCGGGTTTTTTTGGATGTGGATATTTGGTTAACAGATGGTTTGATCTCCTTGAGGGCAGTCCAGTTCTGGGAACTCATATTCAGCGGGATAGGATGCTATCTTACAGGGCTTTGAACTCACCTCCAAATCAATATTCCCTAACTCTCTCTATCTCTAGGTGTCTTTTGAAAATCCAAAAACTAAAAACTTGGCCAAACATTTGACACCAATTCTTTTCCACAATTAAACACACACATAATTTCCATATTATATAAAAAAAAAGAATCTGGAAAAAAAGAAAAGCAAAGATTCTCGGGACACATGCGTGCAACATGTGTGCAGTTTTTTTTGTTATTTAAAAAATTTTTAGTAGGAAACTGTCTCAGCGCACTGAAAATTCGGTAATAAATTTTGGTGAACTTTTAACCAAGATGAAATTATGTCAATTCTATTAATAAGAAAATACGAAAACCTAACTAAGGATGTTTACGTGCTGACATCAATGGGGGAAACCGCAAGAAATGTGCCAATAAATACATGTGTGTTCCGAGGTGTTCTGGATGGATTTCAAAGCTCTTTCATTACTTGAAATATACCAGATAATCGCACTTTTTACCAAATTGCATTATTTGTTTACAAAAATAATAGTGCACATTTAATGGGGTTAAAAATGCGCTAAATGCGGCTCACTTTTCCACCCACCTCCCAAAGATTTTCTGCTGCATTTTCCAGCCTCAGAGAAGCATGCTTTATGCTTTCGCACAATTGACTAAGCAAAAGCAAAAGCAGAAAAGCAAAAGGCAAACGGACTCGCAGACGAGTTTAGAAGATTATCTCATTGCAAACGGAAGCCGAGCAATTAAAGCCGCTGCAACTTGCACCAACTCGCACTCGTTGCACTTGCCGCTGTATAATTATAATTGTTATTGTTGTTGTTGTTGATTTTCCGACTAAGGCGAGATTTTCATTTGCCTCTTGTTATGGCAAAGCATTTCACGAAATCGCCGAGCATAGAAAACTGCCAGTCGAAGGTCAATAGGTTTATGCCAGCGTCAAGTTTGTGATTTGGTTGGGAAAAGTGGAAACGTATTTAAGATTAAATAAATGAATAATTAATGCAAGCCAAATAATGCCAAATTAAAATGTTAATAAAAATTTAGCAATCTTAAAATTTAAACCTAATTTAAAGCGGATTGGTTACTTTTCCAAAACCTTTTATTTACGTTTTTATAAACCTAAGGCTTTATTTTCTGCAAATGTGCCTTATAAATCAAATACTTGGTATTTAATATAAAATATACAACAAATAAATTGGATATAGACGTTCCTTCTTTTTGTTGCGAATTAAAAAAGAAGAAGTTAATAGGTTTTCATACCCTTTTCAGGGTTTACTCAGAAGCTTGCTACGCAGTGAAGAACTCATTTTCAACCCCATAAATCATATATATTCTTGATCAGCATCAGCAGCTGAATCGATCCATCTATCTCCGGTTGAAAAAACAAATTTTAAAATTTTCTCGATTTTTGCAAAAAATGATAAGGGGTTACATCATTAAAATTGCCAAAAATCGACACAAATCTTAATTTTTTAACATTTTAAACTGAGTATGCAGTTTTGTCGCCAGAATAAAAACTAACATAAGGAAGGTTCCGAATTAAAATTAATGCATTTTTGGCCAAGTTATGAATTTTTTAAAATTTGATTTATAGACAAAATTGTCATATAAAAATTACGATTAATATTAATTGAAAGAAAGCAAATATTTTAAGCTTAGTTATGATTGATTTCCGATTTGATCTTATAATTTAATGCAAACTGCAAGACTTAGTCCTTTCTTGTTTTAATTACTTAAACTTAATTATTTTTAATTAAGTAAACTTAAAGCATCACAACAAGAAGATAAACTAATCAAATTTTATAATTTGTACTTGAATTTTGAAGGATATATATTTTTTATATATGTACTAATATCCCAAGAAAATACACACACATCAAGAAAATAAATAGCATTTAATAAAGTGCGTATAAAATGGTATTGCATAACAAATTTCAATCGATTTGAAACGAATTCCTGCTGACATCTTCGATTAACCAAATGAAAGCTCCCAATCAGGGGCAATCAAGACCAGTCCACAGTTCTTTAGATTCCCTATTCCCTATTCCCTATTCCCTATTCCCGATTCCCGATTTGATAAAATAATAAGTGGACACTCTTTTCTGTTCTGTTAGGTCTGCAACACCACGCTATGCGACTGCAAAGGCATCAAGGGACGCATCGGTGCCATCGGTCCACCCGGAGTTCCCGGCTTGGAGGGACCTGCTGGCGATGTGGGACCAATTGGACCGGCTGGCTATCTGGGCGAGAAGGGAGATGTCGGCGAGTACGGTGAAGTTGGCGAAAAAGGACATCGAGTAGGTCTTCCTAAGCCCTTTGAAGGTGTCTCTGAACTAACAAATAATGTGTTTGCAGGGTGATGTTGGATTTGTTGGTGAACCCGGATATCCTGGCCCCAGGGTAGGTGACCATGAAGAAGGGACCAAAGATAGAGCCTTAATTATCACATCTCTTACCCCCAAATTAGGGTTTCCCCGGCGAGGATGGCACACCGGGACCCCGTGGCATCGATGGTTGTGACGGCAAGCCCGGTATATCCGGCCCCGCTGGAGCTCCTGGCGAGAACGGAGTTCGCGGTCCGCCGGGCAAGCCTGGTCCCCAGGGTCCACCCGGTGACGCCGGCGAGGGCGGCATCAACTCAAAGGGCACCAAGGGCAGTCGCGGTGACCGCGGTCCTGGAGGCTATGACGGACCGCCCGGCTTTGAGGGTGATCGAGGACAGAAAGGTGACACTGGATTCGCTGGCTTGACCGGTGCCAAGGGAGACCCGGGTCCACAGGGACAACCCGGTGATATTGGTGAACCGATGGAAACACCGTACCGCCTGCAGGGAACCCCTGGAGAGAAGGGCGACCCGGGCGAGAGCGAGCCAGGAGCACTCACCGTTGACATCTCCTTGAAGGGCTACCGTGGCGAAGTGGGTCCACGGGGAGACATTGGACCGGCCGGCCCACGTGGTGAGCAGGGTCCATTCGGACGTGACGGTCTTCCGGGCTCCAGAGGTGATGTCGGCGGACCCGGTGAGCGAGGCAAGCCTGGAAAGGACGGTGAGCCGGGAGTACCTGGGGACAAGGGTGTCAAGGGAGCGCCAGGTTACAATGGCATTGACGGATTGGACGGCAGCCCGGGACAGCGAGGAGAGGATGGATTCGATGGCATGCCCGGTGTCCAAGGTCGTCCGGGCCCCAAGGGTCTGTACGATCCCACGATGAGCAAGTCTCTGCCGGGCCCCGTTGGACCGCAGGGAGACATTGGACCCGAGGGCCATCGCGGTCCGCCCGGTGTGCCCGGCAAGCCAGGACGTCGCGGTCCAACTGGCCTCCATGGCCAGCCCGGTGATCAGGGATTCAGCGGCAAACGTGGCCCACCCGGACGCAGTGAGCGCGGCGAAGCCGGTGACTATGGACTGATTGGTGCGCCTGGACCCCAGGGACCGCCCGGGGAGGCTGGTCCACCCGGACGCTATGGACTGCGTGGTGATCCCGGCTACAATATGATCGGACCCAAGGGAGAGGCTGGCCTGAACGGATTGCCCGGCAAGGATGGCTATCGCGGCGAACGCGGAGAGGTCGGTCTGCCCGGAGACAAGGGTCTGCCCGGTGAGGGTTACAACATTGTGGGCCCACCCGGTTCACAGGGACCGCCTGGACTACGTGGCTATCCCGGTGACGATGGCATGCCCGGCTTCCGAGGACTGCACGGAGACAAGGGATTGCGCGGCGACGACTGCGGCATCTGTCATGCTGGACCCCGTGGACCACGAGGACAGGAAGGTGACACCGGTTATCCTGGCGCCCATGGCAATCGTGGCTTGATTGGATTAACCGGAGCGCGTGGTCCTCAGGGCATGCAAGGAAAACCCGGCAAGACTGGCTTCAAGGGTATCCGCGGATCACCTGGTATTCCCGGCGAGACGGGAGTCCCCGGCAGAAAGGGTGTCGCTGGAAAGGTCATTGTTATTGGCAGCCTGGGAGCAGCGGAAAAGGGCGACGATGGAGAGCCCGGACGTCGTGGATTACAAGGTTTCGATGGTCTGAAGGGAGCCGCTGGAGCCCATGGAGCCCAGGGTGCACGCGGTGAGCCGGGCTTGCGCGGTGACTACGGTGACACTGGTCGTCCTGGAGTCGACGGACGCCCAGGTCGTCCCGGACGTAATGGCAGTCCCGGACAGAACCCAACCACGCCCAAGGTGTACCTGATTGGCGAACCCGGTTACAATGGACTCAAGGGTGAGCGCGGTGACGACGGCGACATGGGATTGAAGGGAGAAAAGGGTAACATGCATCCCGGCGAGGTGATCACCAACAGAGGCGACGAGGGTGACAAAGGCTTCCAGGGTGAGCCTGGCTCACGAGGACCAAAGGGTGAACAAGGCATTCCAGGCATTCCTGGCGATATCGGTGACGAGGGACCGGCTGGCGAGACAATCCAGGGACCCGAGGGTCTCAAGGGTTATCCGGGCATTACCGGAGACTATGGACTGCACGGTGCCCCCGGCTTACCCGGCCTGGACGGTGAGCCTGGTGTCGATGGCTTTGTCGGATTGAAGGGACTTCGCGGTGAACCTGGACAATCGGTGATTCCCGGTGATATTGGAGTGCCCGGACGGCCCGGTATCAAGGGATTCTACGGTGATGCTGGCGAAACTGGACAATATGGACCACCTGGCCGTACGGGAGAGAAGGGAGCCAAGGGCGAGATGGGACCGTATGGAGCCATCGGATTGACAGGATTGCCCGGCAACAAGGGTCAGCGCGGTGACTATGTGATAGGACCACCAGGACCCCAGGGTCAGCCCGGACGCAATGGACGCCTTGCTCCGCACGGCCTTAAAGGCCAGAAGGGAGAGGTGGGCTGGCAGGGACAGAATGGCCAGAATGGCGTCAAGGGCAGCATCGGCTATACCGGAGCTCGTGGTGCTCTCGGCAATCCTGGCCCCCAGGGCTTCCCCGGCAGTCCCGGTATTGGAGGCCTTCCCGGCATGATCGGTGACATGGGTGATCGTGGTGATATTGGTGCAGATGGACGACCCGGCGACATCGGTCCTCGTGGCGCAGTCGGTGAATTTGGACTTAAGGGTAAGTAGCGGACTCTATAATCCTTAATCATAGCTAATCCCTATCACTATTGTCAGGAATTGCTGGTGACGTTGGACCGTACGGCTATCCTGGTGCCAATGGCCTGCCCGGACGCAAGGGCGAGCAGGGAGACCGTGGTTTCCCCGGTCGGACTGGCATCAAGGGTTCGGCCGCTTTCAGTGGCATCAAGGGTGACGATGGTGAGCCCGGCTGGACGGGACCGCCCGGCTATACTGGTGCTCCCGGTCCCAAGGGACAGCGTGGTCCTACCGGTGATTCGCCAATTGCCTTTGATGGCCCCATCGGACGGAAGGGAGAGCCCGGCAATCCTGGAATCAATGGAATCCCCGGACGTTATGGCCTGAAGGGACAACGTGGTGAACGCGGTCTCACCGGACAAGCGGGTGAGCCCGGTGCCCCCGGTGCCCAGGGATTGGATGGCTATCGTGGACGAAACGGAGCTCCTGGTCTCAAGGGCGCCATCGGAGAGGTCGGCCCCAGTGGACCCGATGGCCTGCAGGGCCCGAAGGGTGACGAAGGCTACCCCGGCCTGATGGGAATGAACGGTGACCAGGGACCACAGGGCCCCGTCGGCGAACAAGGCTTGAAGGGTATTCAGGGAGACGAAGGTGAAATCGGTTATTCTGGACGCGTGGAGAATCTGGGAGATCGGTACCTGTACCGCGGCTTCCCCGGTGACCAAGGCATCGTTGGTGAACGCGGCGAGAAGGGTGAAATGGGCCAGATTGGCTTCATCGGACTACCGGGTGCCAAGGGTGAGCGCGGTGACATTGGCTTTGCCGGCCAACCCGGCTACGATGGCATTCCCGGAGCCAAGGGCTCCCAGGGTGACATCGGACCGCGAGGTCTTCCCGGCCTGACCCAAGCAGCAGAGCGTGGAGCAGATGGTGACGCCGGCTACGATGGACGCCAGGGTCGACCAGGACGCAGGGGTCAGAAGGGAGCTCCCGGCGAGCAGGGAGAGTACGGAGCCAATGGCATAATCGGACACCGTGGACCCGAGATCCAGGGCCGACCTGGAGATCAGGGTGATGTCGGCTATCCAGGAGCACCAGGACGCAACGGATTGCACGGCCTGGCCGGACCAAAGGGAGAGCATGGCGACCAGGGTCGCCAGGGAGAGCAGGGAGAGGCTGGCTTCGCTATCTGGGGCATGCAGGGCGACATTGGTGATGTCGGCTTCCAGGGTGCTCCCGGCAGAGATGGCGCCAAGGGTGAACAGGGCTACCCCGGTCGTCCTGGCCATTTTGGACGAGTGGGTGCCCCGGGACCAAGGGGACCCACTGGTGACGCCGGCTGGAGCGGCATTGACGGCATGGACGGATTGTACGGCGAGAAGGGACAACCGGGAGAGTCATACTCCTACTCTATGGCCCGACCAGGAGACCGCGGTGAGCCCGGCCTCGATGGCTTCAAGGGTCAGCAGGGTGATGCCGGATTACCAGGATTCGAGGGACTCGTTGGCCTGCGCGGTGCCACCGGCTATCGCGGTGACCAGGGTGAGGTTGGCTATTCCGGTGCGGATGGTCCTCAAGGACCACGCGGTGACATTGGTCCGATCGGTCTGACGGGTAGACCTGGTCTTCGTGGTCTGCCCGGACCCGAGGGTGACCCAGCACCGGCACCGCCACCACCCAAGAGCCGCGGCTTCATCTTCGTCCGCCACTCGCAGTCCGTGCAGGTTCCCACCTGTCCCGCCAACACGAATATGCTGTGGGAGGGCTACTCCCTGTCCGGCAACGTGGCCTCCGCCCGCACGGCTGGCCAGGATCTGGGACAGGCCGGCTCCTGCCTGATGCGATTCACCACCATGCCGTACATGATGTGTGATCTGAACAATGTCTGCAACTATGCCCAGAACAATGACGACAGTCTCTGGCTGTCCACCGACGAGCCCATGCCCATGACCATGACGCCCATCCAGTCCAGGGATCTCATGAAGTACATCTCGCGGTAAGTGATATTTTTTAAATTGAATTCAAAAGGGTTTAATTATTCTTCGTGGCTTCTAGTTGCGTGGTGTGCGAGACCTCGACCAGAGTGATTGCCCTGCACTCGCAATCCATGTCCATTCCAAACTGTCCCGGCGGCTGGGAGGAGATGTGGACCGGCTTCAGTTACTACATGGTATGGACACTTTAGAAGGAGTTGGAGATTCCCTATTAATCAATTTGTAATTCAATTTAGACCACCTTGGACAACACAGGCGGCGTTGGACAGAACCTTGTCTCGCCTGGCTCCTGTCTGGAGCAGTTCCGTGGCCAGCCGGTGATCGAGTGCCATGGCCATGGACGCTGCAACTACTACGATGCCTTGGCCTCATTCTGGCTTTCCGTTATCGAGGAGCAGGAGATGTGGTCCCAGCCGCGCCAGCAGACGCTCAAGACCGATCCGACCAGCAAGATTAGCAGGTGGGTTTTGCCCTGAGCTCTGCTCTTCAAAGAGCTTTAAACATTACCTATAATATCTTTTCAGATGCACAGTTTGCCGTCGTCGCGGTGATGCCTTTGTGGCCCGCACCCTGTCCACCGCATCCTCGTCTTGGTCCTCGGGTTCGAGCTCCGGCTCAGACTCTAGGAGTCCATCGGGCGGCGGTTCGAGATGGTCTTCGGGCTCTGGTTCAGGATCTGATTCTGGCTCCGGCAGGTCATCTTGGTCATCGGGTTCCAGTGGAGGACAACCAGGATCCGGCTCTAGCTGGAATTCGGGCTCCAGCCAGGGGCAACCAGGTTCCGGCTCTAGCTGGAACTCTGGCTCTAGCCAGGGACAACCAGGATCCAGCTACAGCTGGCCCGCAGGACCCGGTTCCAGCTGGTCCTCGGGATCCAGTGCTATTCCCAGAACAAACGCTGGCTGGAATACGGCCAACTCAAGGAGTAACCCCGGTTGGCAATCCAATGCCGGCGGCTCCAATCCCGCCGGCTGGTCATCGAGCTCCAGCTGGAGCTCCGAGCCGCGCAGCACCGGCGCCGGTGGATACCAACGGACCAATGAAGCCCAAGCTCCCCGGCAGCCGTACTCCCCGGCTCCATCCAACTACTTGAACGGAAGGTATCAGCAGCGCCGCCCGAGCAACCAGCCGCAGAGCTACAGCGAGTACGCACGCGATCCTCGCCAGTACCGTCGGCGCACGCGCGAGGACACCACCGCACCCTAGACTCCCCACTAAGTAGCAGTTAAATCTTTGTCTTAAGTATATTGCTATCCTATCGCGATAACGATAACGATCCAAAAAACCAAAACCAAACACTGAACAGTGCCATTTTCTGTGTAGAAGTAATCTAATTACGTGGCCGCCAAACGCCACACACTAATAACACACCCAAACCAAGTGCCAAGTGCCAAGAAGAAGAAAGGATTCAGTTCATAAATGGGGGCGAGAGGAGTATCCGTATCCACACTGCCTGCACACAGCTCCAATTGTTGGGATTTAATTGTAAATGTAACAACACAAAACCAAAAACCAAACCCAGTTTTTTGATAAATAAAATTTAAACAACATAAAACCAATGCACACAAAATAAACTTTAAATGCAATAGAGGGAAAGGTGTTAATTATTAAATTTAAATATTTCTCCATTTCGCTCACTCTCCCGCTCTGTCCCTCTCTATATAGCCAGCTCTTTCGGAATAGCAATCACTCTCTGTGTATCGGTTTCTCTTAATAGCTCTATGCTACTCTCTACTCTACTCTCTAGAGCTAACTATTTCCTTCTTGCTCTCTCGCTCTCAGATTCTCTGTTCTCTTTCCTCGGGGACTATAAATAGAGGTACACACCTCGCGCGCGAATCACTCTGTTCGTGGCGAGCCCGCTGTTAACATCTATGGTGAAAGTGATAATGATAGTGATAATGATGCTGATCATTAGTGATAATGATAGTGATTACTCTTCGGTACCATTGTATACATATGGATAACCAGGAAGCAGCTCACTTCGATGGAAAGCCTAATTGATGTCATCTTGGTGAAGGAAGTAATTAAACAATGATGAAATCGGTAAGTCTTAATCATGATAATTATATCATATTAATATATCAATGCCTTGTATCAGGCCTAGTTCTGGAAACATTGTTTTATTTTCAAATGAATTCCTTAATTGTAATCTATAATTTAACATCAATTTGTATACTCAAAGTTAACACCCTAACTTAATTATTAATTACAAAACTGATCCCGACTTTTGCACCAACTTTTGCTACATTATTATACCCTTGCAGGGTATTATAATTTTAGTCAGATTCGTGCAATGCTCTGACCCCAGAAATCATTTACCATATATTCTTGATCAGCATCAACAGCTAAATCGATCTAGCTAAGTCCAGTTGAAAAAATATATATTTATATTTTCTTAGTAATATACGAAAATCAAAAATCCACTGATTGCCATAGTCCATATAATTAAATATTTGAAATCAATAACTTAATTAGCTTAGTTATAATTGATTTCACATTCGAATCCATGACCACCCTATGCTTTTCTCGAAGTTAGCTTCGTTTCTTGTTATAAGACAATTTCTTCGAAAAATTTAAGTTTAAAAAACAGTTAACCACGAAAACATTAAATTTAATTTGGAATCCTTTCATGGTAGTTTTTATTATGGCAATAAAACTGAATACTCAATTTACTCGGGAAAAAGTACTTCAAAATTCTACAAGCTTCTGACTAAACTTATAATACCATTCTTTGAATCGATATTTATCTATATTTTATGAGACAATTTCGTCTATAAATCAAATTTTTAAAAATTCATAACTAAGCCAAATATGCATTAATTTCAATTCGGAAACATTTCCTATGCTGTTTTTTACCGGGGCAATAAAACTGCATACTCAGTTTAAAATGTTAAAAAATTAAGATTTGTGTCGATTTTTGGCAATTTTAGTGATGTAAGCCCTTATCATTTTTTGCAAAAATCGAGAAAATTTTCAAATTTTTTTTTTCAACCGGAGATAGATGGATCGATTCAGCTGCTGATGCTGATCAAGAATATATATGCTTTGTGGGGTCGGAAATGACTCCTTCACAGTTTTACAAGCTTCTGACTAAACTTAGAATACCATTTTTTGGTCGAAATTTATCTATACTTTATGTGCCAATTTCGTCTATAAACCAAATTTTAAAAAATTCGTAGCTAAGTCAAAAATTTACTAAACTTAATTCGAAAACCTTTCTTATGTTCGTTTTTATTCTGGCGACAAAACTGCATACTCAGTTTTTTCGGGAAACAGTCCTTCACATTTCTAGAAGCTTCAGACTAAACTTAGAGTACCATTCTATGAGTCGATATTTATCCATATTTTATGTGACAATTTTGTCTATAAATCAAATTTTAAAAATTTCATAACTTGGCCAAAAATGCATTAATTTCAATTCGGAAACCTTCCTTATGTTAGTTTTTATTCTGGCGACAAAATTGCTTACTCAGTTTTTTCGGGAAACAGTCCTTCACATTTCTAGAAGCTTCAGACTAAACTTAGAGTACCATTCTATGAGTCGATATTTATCCATATTTTATGTGACAATTTTGTCTATAAATCAAATTTTAAAAATTTCATAACTTGGCCAAAAATGCATTAATTTCAATTCGGAAACTTTTCCTATGCTGTTTTTTACCAGGGCAATAAATCTGCATACTCAGTTTAAAATGTTAAAAAATTAAGATTTGTGTCGAATTTTGGCAATTTTAATGATGTAACCCCTTATCATTTTTTGCAAAAATCGAGAAAATTTTCAAAATTTTTTTTTCAACCGGAGATAGATGGTTCGATTCAGCTGCTGATGCTGATCAAGAATATATATGCTTTGTGGGGTCGGAAATGACTCCTTCACAGTTTTACAAGCTTCTGACTAAACTTAGAATACCATTTTTTGGTCGAAATTTATCTATAATTTATGTGCCAATTTCGTCTATAAACCAAATTTTAAAAAATTCGTAGCTAAGTCAAAAATTTACTAAACTTAATTCGAAAACCTTTCTTATGTTCGTTTTTATTCTGGCGACAAAACTGCATACTCAATTTTTTCGGGAAACAGTCTACATTTCGAGAAACTTCAGACTAAACTTAGAGTACCATTCTTTGAGTCGATATTTATCCATATTTTATGTGACAATTTTGTCTATAAATAAAATTTTAAAAATTTCATAACTTGGCTAAAAATGCATTAATTTCCTATGCTAGTTTTCACGAAGGCAATAAAACTGCATACTCAATTTAAAATGTCAAAGAATTACATTTGTATCGATTTTTTAAAATTTTAACGATGTAACCCCTTATCTTTTTTGCAAAAATCGAAAAATTGATAATACAATTTTTTTTCAACCTGGGATAGTTAGATCGATTCAGCTGTTGATGCTAACTAAAATTAAAATACCATGTAGAGTTTACAAATCCTACAACCTCGCGCAGATTTCTAAAAAATATTGAAACTAATATCAAAACCAATATACGATATATCTTTCATAGCAGTTAAGCCCCAATTAATGAAAAGTGCAATTAATCACAGCCCTTAAATGACATTCTTACACTCTAAATTGCTTTTCTCTTTAAATAAAAAAATAAATAAAATATTTCATATCATTACCCACATTGCTCCATTTTATTTAGTTAAACACACATGATTATGGTTCATTCGGCTTTGAAACTCGACAGCATATTTAATTTTATTACAATTTGAAAAAGGTCTACATATATACGCGTGTAATCAGTTTGCTTGCTCCCTCCCCCGAATCTAACAAGTAATGATACACATTCTCTCGTAAAGGCTATTGGACAAGGTACATCTGTGTATAGGCAGAGGCTGTTCGCACGATGTACCCCGTATACCCGTATCTCTCTCACGGGCAGCTTATCGTACGACATATGACAGGTGGCTACACATAAATATACGTACATATAGATCACTAAGCAATTAAAGGAAATACAAATATAAGGAGGTGACGCTAAAAGTAAGAATGGGGAAACGGAGAGGTACAGCTAAGTTAAGGTTAGATCAGGACAAGAGCTTAGAGTGTAGGATGTAGGAGTAGTAGAGTGGGATATTTGGTGTTGTCCCGCCTCCGCGTCATCATCCAGCCTGTCCATCCACACTATTATTTAACAAAGTCCGGATTCTCCTGCACCTTCTCGTTGAACTGCAAATGGTTGTCGATGATCTGGAACAGTACTTCGGGCGCTGGGAAGCGACCCGTCTGCAGCTTCGACCACACGGGCACATCGTTCAGGGTTATCTCGAACGCACCCGACGATATGAGCTGGCCCTCGAGCATGTTGCCGAGAAAGAAGATCATCATACAAGCGTAGATCTTGTTAGCCTGCAGGTGGCCCCACCAGCTGGGCGTGTTCAGGCCGAGGAAGGTGAACGGACTGACCGCACTCACCACCGACACAATGATGATGATTTTCAGCGCGAATATAATCTTGGAGAGATAGTAGTTGAAGCCCGGCGGGTCGTAGTTGCCGCCATGCACCTGGATCTGCGGGTATTTCTCACCCAGAATGTTCACGTAGTCCTCAAAGGCCTTGCGATAGCCGCAGGAGTAGCTGTGCGGCAAGACAGAAAAAGAAAACCACGTATGTTCAGTCGGACCCACATATATACACATACATATATTATGTTAATTGCCCCGGCGTAATCCTCACCAGTAAAGAAAAGTCATCGTCGGCGCCGAGCTCTGGCCGAATTTCGTGGCCGGTATCTCCTTCTCAACGTCGGCGACCACCAGCGCGTAGGTGGCGCACAGGCACAGTACCAGCAGTGCTATATTTCTTCCATTTAGGGCTTCCATTGCGCTAATTTTCGTGGGTTTTCTTCACTAGAATTTCGGAGTAGTATTATTTTTTTGTACTTTGCCAATTAGTAAGACCGTGCGGCGGTGGCTGGGAAATACGCCTACTACGGCTTCAACTGGGTATGTCAGCAAATTGACGGTCTGGCAGCGCTGCAGTATCCGGTCTATCATCTGAATGTATTTATGGCTGTTTATCCGTATTGTTCACAGAAATGCTTTAAGAAGCTCTGACTAGACAGGTTGGGCTGCAGTTTATTCATTTTGGAAGTCAAAAAGTGTCTAGAAACGTTCGAAAACAGCAAAGATACTTTCCGGCCGGTAGGCGAAGTGTGACCAGTTAATCTAAGCAGGATATACCTTATTTTTACGACTCCATGGCATAATCCACGGAACGCCGTCCGGTCCCTCCATTCTGCGGCGGATTTGCTCCGCGAAAAAAGCTAAACAAAAAACATGGTAAATGTTATGAAAGGAGTGCTGGTGGAGTGGTAAGTAATCCCAACATATAGCCTAAATTATATATAGTTAATACATACCTTTGCAGTGATCCTGCTATGAAACAATTCCTGCTGCACTTGGACGAGAAGCTGGCTCTGGGTCGCAAATTTATAATCCAGGATCTGGACGAGAATCATTTATTCATCTCTACGGACATTGTGGATGTGCTGCAAGCCCGCGTCGACGACTTGATGGACCGCATTAGCTTCCCGCTGCACGACAAGGACGCCTAGAAACTTCCAGAAAATCTTCAAACAACAAAAAATACAACGAAACACTACCATGACGGGCCGGGAGTCCAATCGCATCAAGGATGCAGAGAAAAAGCGCGTGCTGGATGTGGCCGCCCGGCAGCGACGCGCCCGCAAGGCTCTGGAGGCTTTGGAGCAAGACAACTTCCACGACGACCCGCACGCCGACCTGGTCATGTCCAAGAAGCTGCCCAAATTCCAGGACAGCCCGAATGGCAAGGAGAAGAAGACCAAGCGCAAGGGCGCCGAATACTTCCGGGCCAAGTATCGCAAGAACTTCCAGCAGCTGCTCGAGGAGGACAAGCAGCGTCCCAACTACGAGAGCGCCACGGCTCCGCCTCCCCAGAAGCCTCTGCGCCACTTTTGTGCCGTCTGCGGCAATTTCTCCCTGTATTCCTGCACCGCCTGCGGGACGCGCTACTGCCGGGTGCGCTGCCTCAAAACGCACCAGGACACGCGCTGCCTGAAGTGGACCGCCTGAAATGGTTGTAGTTTAAACATAAACAATAAATCAAATCTAGAATTAACTTAGAAGAGGCTTTTCGTTTGATAGAGTTGCCAGATCTGGCCAAAGAACTTTCTAGCTATTTTTTTGTGTTGATAAATTTAATAGAGACTTCAGCCCGTACAATTCATATATATCAATAATTTAGAATTAATACTACATAATAATAATCTTCTAATTATGTTTATTTATTTTTCTTTAAAATTAACTATTGTATATATCGATCTATCGATAGTGTCGGCCATATTTTCGATAAGTTCATGTTTTGCCATCTCCAACATCGCGCAGGTCAAATCAACATTTCAAACGAATCGCTTCGAAACAGTCTCGCCTGCAGTCCAAAACAAATTTTTAAGTTTACGTCCAGGAGTACAAGTCCCCTAGACAAATAAAATCCCGCGTGCGTGTGTGATAGATTCCGAATTTGAGCCTTGTCAACCGGCGAAATCAGCTGTAGCCAAGGAAGCAGTTGCGTGTCTGTGTACAAGAGCGCCGTGTGTGTGTATGTGCGAGAGCGCGAGTCCAATCAGAGAGCCAGGATATCCCAATAGCATCCGTGAAAATCGTTAATTTTCCCGATTTTCCCCGAAAAAATGGATATTAACTTTGCTGATTTGAAGAAGGAGGCAGCCGCCACCAATGAGGACATTTTCCAAAGGGCGCAGAAGGCCTACGAGGACCTGGCATCTTCGCCCAATGTAAGCAGCGGCGCCCAGGACGACAATGCCCACACTGAGCACTACTTTGCAAACGAGAAGAAGAACCTGGACTTTGGAGATCCGCAGGAATTCGTGCAGCGACTGTCTGCCGGCGCCAAGGAGGCGCAAGTGGAGCTGGATGCCAAGTTTTCCCAAAAGGTGGATGATTTCGGAGACTTTCTGCGCGACGTCGGCCAGGAGGCGAAGCAGGGCATCAGCGGCTTGACCACTGACTTTATGAATGCCGAGCGTGGCTTCTCTGCTCCTTTGGCTGCCTTCTCAGACACCCCAGCACCAGTGGCTCCTGCTCCGGCTCCTGCTCCTGCTCCGGCTCCAGCTTCTGCTCCTGTTCCAGCTCCAACTGAGGTTGCTGCCGTTCAAGAGGAAGATCTCCTCGGCAGCTTTGGCGGCGATAAGCCACAGGCTCCACTGCAATCCTTCCAGGCCACGGCCCCGTCCAGTGCCAATTTCTATGATGATGACGATGACGATTTCTTGGGCAAGCCGCTCGCCGCGGCCCCTGTGAGTGCCAACAACAAGGATTCTGATACTGAATCGCCTTCCGTCTCGTACACACCGTCGCCGGCCAAAAAGCATATTGTGGATGAGCTAAAGGAGCAGGATAACGAGAAGTTCATCTCTTCGGAGGATCTGCTCAGTGACTTCAAGGAGGAGCGCACAGCCACACCGCCAGCTCACATTTCGGCTCCGGCACCCGCCGTCGCCCCAGTAGCGGCGCCTGTGCCAGTGCCAGTTGTAAAGCCATCGTCCCCGCCGCCGGTTCCAGTGGTTGTTCCCGCTACAACCGCCTTGGTAACCGACCTTGACGACGAGGATGACTTCAAGCCCAGCAGTGTCCAGGTGGCTCCCAAGGCCGAGCCAAAACCGGAACCACCCAAGCCCAAGGAGGAGCCGCCCAAGCCAAAGGTCACACCGGTATCATCGCAGCCACAGCCCAAGATTGTGTCCGTGGAGGAGATCTTCTACAAATATGGATTGGGTGAGTTCCATTGCTACTCAGAATGCACTCTCTATAATCGTTATCATTCCGTTATTTAACTAATTACGTTGTGCCTGTCGTAATTAGAGTATTATTCGCTGTTTGCCTTTGTTTGTGTTGTCCTTGTGACCGCACCTTGCATCCCACCTGGCCCAGCTCCAGCTCCTCGGAGCCCTCGTTTCTGTGTTAGTCATTTCGTCGCTCTCTTCTTTGCGTTTGGTTTTTTTCCTCAACTCTGCTCCATGATGTCATCGGAGGTCTCTGTTCTCTCTATATTAAATGTATTTCATATCGCAATGCAGAGAAATTTGATAGCTTTAGAAGATTCTTAACGCCTCTCTGTGACTTTCCCTGAACTTACAATCGTTCTCTTTCTGGATGCGGATTATAAATCATTATGGCATCCCAGCAGCAGCAATCTTATATATTTTGCCGGCATTTTCTCATAGTTTTGGTGAATAGATCGTCACCACTTTGGACTGGCGCGTGATTCACACTCATTTGAATGCGTCAAATCAAGTGAACAGATATTGTGGTTGTATGTAAAGACAGGTCTCAATGACTAAAGAGGATGAATTAGGGAAAAATTTTATTTGTAAAGGAGGTACTTACTTTTGTACTTATTTTTATAAAACAGACCTTTTGGAAGGGATTTTCTTATACTATTTTAAGCTTTTAAAACAATTTACCGAAGGTTGCAGGTTTTGTTTTGTATTTATAAAGCTTTAATTGTGAGTTTTCGAAGGTTTTTATGTAAATTGAATGCATTTTTAAGGGTTTTATAAAGAGTTCCTTATTTTTAGAATACAAATTAATCAAGCTTAATCACAGAGCAATCTTTTGAATTGATTTTAAATCTTTGGCAAGAGAAGGAACAATTTAAAATATTTAAAATGTCCCTTTAATCTATGAATTCCCTTAAATCGGTCCAGTTAAACCTTTAAATCTAAATAAATATATTTAAACAGCTGGCCGACTGTTTATTAATACTATTTACAATAAGAGAACGTAATAAAAAAGTATATAATTGTGTAAATAATTAGTACACAAAGTTACACAATAAATTACAAAGTAAAAGGCGAATAAGTAAACAATTTAATACTAAAAATAAGAACACCCAGTAAATGGAAAAAATTAAAGTTAATTGCATAACTAATCCCAAACCAGACGGAGCAAAGAGAGAGGCTACAAGTCATCATCATCGTCATCACGTTATAAAAAAAGCTGGCCTGGGCTAGCATTATAACCGAGATACTTTACCGGCATGAATCAGCTGTGCTTGATGGCTAACCTCTCCCCTGGCCACCACACACCTTTTCTATATAAATACCTTTATATATATTAAGTTATATATATATTTTACTCAACCCAAAAGTGACTGTCTGGCCGTTCATTGACGTATGTTTGCCGGTGTATTACCCGTTCATATTTCACTTATTATTTCATTGTAAATGATTCTTGTTTCTGTGCTTTACGTTTCATTTTTCGTGTATTACGTTGTGTTGTGTCCATTAAGGCAATTTACGGCACTCGCAATAGCAACGGTAATTTATTGTTGCGTAGCTGAATTCTGCTACTATTTTTTTGTTTTTATTTTCTGCCAAGCTACTACCCTAAGCTAATTTTATGCCATTGGATAATCACATCTCTGGGTGCCCATGCCCTCTGTCTCTGCGGAAAAGCATTTTCCAATTAGTGATTTCCATCGACGCCTCCGGCTGCAGTCTGTATGCACCATGCACATCCCTTTTGTTCGCGATTATGCGGCTATTTTTATTACTTATTACCAGCTGTGTACATATGTATGTAACTTACATATATTCATTTGCTTTTTGTTCTTTTGTTCTTCTTTTGTCTTTCAATTTTGCACTTGATTTTGCTTTGGGGATTTCGGAGCGAGAGAGCTTAGCATCCACGGCTTTACCTTATCTCTTCACCACTTTATCGCCAGTTACAATAGTTCACTCACAGCTTCCGATAGCGGTGCATTATTTTCTATATAAGTTGTGATAATTTCCTTCGCTGGCAAAGTAACATAATATTTATTTTAATTTTCATTCTTGTGTCGTGTTGGGTAAACAAAAAAGTTGCTTCCTCTTTTGGTTCGATTTTGTTTAGTATTATTTTTGGTTAATTGCATCTCCCACGCTGCTCGATGAGATCGATTTAATGGAGGGCAATAGCTTCGTTTTTTTATATATATATAAAGAGAACTGAGAAAAGAACACATGGCATTAAGTGGAAAAAGCAAGACGAGTGAGCCCTGTACTATATAAAGAATGTTATTATTATTGTGCGTGGGGATAACCTTAAAAAGCTAAGAACAAGTTCGATTTTTGTGAATTAAATTGGTTTAATCAATATTTATTCCTGCCACTTGCCCTTTTAGGTTTCTTAAGAGTTCCATCTTAAGCCAGACAACTTATTTTCCTGATTATTTAAAGCAATTATTAAACATTTTTAAATCTTATAAAGTATAGTAGTTTTTGCAACTGCTTAAACTGCAAATGTGGTCTCATTTTAAATAGAAAATTATCCATATTTTATTTATTTTCTTTTAAAAATAGCATTTAAATTGTATTTTATGTAGATTTCAGTAGCTATTCCTTTTAATATAAAGGTCAAGTTTGCCTTAAACTAAAAAATTTCTATTATTTTAAATCTAAATCTTTTCTTTATGTACTTTTGTTAAACAAAACCCTTTTCCAAATATATGTAAATATGTAGGTCACTTGGTTAAACATATAGCAAATATTTGTGATAGTTTTTCATACAAATTTTCCACCGGAAAAATGTATTTTCCTCCTTCTCCTACTTAATATCGATTTCATCTGGCAAGAAAGTGGCCAGAAACTGTGCTAAGAGAACTTTGACAATTTGGCAAGCCATATGGATTGGAATGCGTCAGGAATTGTGGCCATAACTTGGTCACTGGCCAAAAGCATACTCCAAACATAAACTATAGGTATTAAGAACTGGTACCCGCCGTCGCTGCCGCCGCTGGGGAAATGGGAAATGCGTTGATTGATTTCCTATCTAATTTTCACACTGCACGCAAAGGGCGGGGCCTGAAGGAAGGGGTTGTTGGGTTGGGGGATGATAGCAACAGCATCTGCAGCTATAGCTGCTTGCACTGCTGCCGCACCGCACCCAAAAAGTCCGGATAATTTCCAGCCCACTTAGTGGGTGGCAATAAAAACAACCAAATTCCTAACAGGAGCAGGACGCATGCGCCTTGGGGGATGGGGGGAAGGGAAGGAGAATGGTGAAAAGTCTCCACTCTCCAACACAGGCGGGTCAGCTGCATTGGGTGAAATATCGATGAGTGAGCTGAGCGCGACGAGACTCTGGCCTCTGGAAAAGCCAGGCCAAGCTTTTCCTCGGCGCAGGGTTCAGGGCTAAGAGCGGTTGCTCAACTCAGTGAGACTTGCGTTGCCCTCTGTCTCATTGATTTTGCATTCCGACCCAAAAGGTGCAACACAGTGGGACCTGCTTTGGAGGGAACTAGGTGAAAATTTCTACCAACAAAATATGCTCTAATTCTTAAAGATTTTACTAATACTTTTGTATATATAAATTGAAATAACATAGACAAATACTATTATAAAATTTCCAGAGATTTCAAATCTTACAAATGAAAATGTAGCATACTTTTTTGTTCTACTTCTTTTAAATCTCCAGAAATTATAGAAATGAAACTACAAAGTTATATGAATAGATCCTTTACTGTAACTGTAAACGGAACACAGTGGGGGGCCCACCATTTCTTCCTCTTTCTATCTAGTATCTCTCTCTCTCTCTCGGCGCCGCCGCCGTGGCTTAGGGTTGTCCTTTTTGTCGCAAGGAGATATTTCCCTGCCGACTGAAGCTTTTCCTGATACGTTTTTCAGTCTCTATACGCGTCGTGAGGTCGCAGCACACACGGAAGTGAAATTTCATTCTTATAGCGTAATATCACGGTAATACGTTAACGTCGTAATATACTCTCGCCGTGCTTTCTTTCATCTGCGCCGTGCTTTTGTCAACGAAAACAATCGAATAGAAAAACGTAAAAACGAAACGAAAAGGAAATTCTGGTGCCTACAGAAAGTGTGCAAAGTTAAAGTCTAAATCACAAAGAATATAATTAATAATAATGTCTGCAATTGGTGAAACCGCTCAGAATGGCGTTTGCAAGCAACGTCCATTGATTTGCTCCATTCTCGATCCCAGTAAGTGGTACCTCGCATTTAAAACGTATTAACCCCGAAACGAAACTCACCCCAAAAATTCGAAATTCGAAAGAAAAGAAAAGTCATAAGAAAAACAACAAAACTAACCTCTGACAACTGTGGTATGGGGGGGGGGAAGATTTTAATAGTTTAACCGTAATTAAGGATTGTATAATTTGTGTAAATATTATCTACGGTAGCAGGTTGCTTCTCTGTATTATAGTAACTTATTAAATTTAATTTCTATTGCTTAGTATTTCTACTTAATTTAACTGTTAAATTTTTGTTTCTCTGCTGCTTGATTTCGGAATTAAACTGCTTTCTCTTTCTCTTGTACCGCCTGGAAGCGCGTTTTTTACTGATTTTTTTCAATACACCGCCTCCTGCACGCTATTTCCGTTTCCTTTTGGGCCATTTTCATTATCGTTTTCGCACCACGACTAACCGCTAACTAACGAAAATCAATATATCAATCGCCTATTTGCAGATGCCTGGTTCAAGCCCGAACGTTTGCACCCGCAAGGTAAGTTATCCAGTGGCTGTCAAACTGCGCCCAGGAGCGCTGCTTGACCGGCGCGGCAATCGTTAAATGTAACTGTTAATAAGTGTTACTGTGTAACTGTACAATACCCGCCAACTGTCAATATGCGTTATGATGTCATCGAGAGCCACCCCCTAAATATCTGCTCAATCCCTTTGTTGTTGTTGTTGTTGTTGTCCACTTTGTTTTGCTCTTTTTGTTGTTGTTGCTTTTGATTAATCCTACCACACAAATACATTCATATGCTAAGCTTTGTGTTCCCGCTGTTCTCCTTGCCGTGGCTTTATTTTTTTTTGTGCACTTGTGCTCAGGCAAGCAGTGCGGCCCGAAAGTATGCCACATTATTCCGCATATCCTTTCAAGTGCTCTGCATTGTCTCTTTATGCGAGTGTATGTGTGTGTGTGCCATTTAAGTATTTTTATTTGTTTCCTCTTTATTCTTTTTTTAGGGGAATTTTAGTATATAGAAAGCGTGCTTGCATGGTGTAATGTTAAAAATGTTGGAAAGGATTTTTAAATTACCTTTTTTGACAATTTTTATTGGGTTACTAGTACCAAAAGCTTACTTATAATTCTATCTGTTAGTCATTACCTCTAAAAATAGCATCCTTATATCACATATTCAGGGGTTTTGTATATAAATCTCTCTTAAATGGAGGTTATTTTCGATTTCTACAGCTCTCTCTTTGTCCTGCAAATCGATAAATTGAGGCAGACATGCATGAGCATATTAATAATGTTTACAATTTATTGCCAAGGTGGCACCTCCTAAAGAGACACGCTTAATAACTTTAATATACAAATTTTAGTACAGTTTGCAACGTACTCTTTGATTTATTTCAAGTTTTATGCAGCTTTCACCCATGTTGTTGGGGGTTGACTAAATATAATTTGCATTTTTTTTAATGCACTACACACGAGGGTAGCTCGGTAGGTGGCAAGCTCTGCCCGGCTTCTACCCTTTTCTCCCCCCTGCTTTAAGTTTTTGGGTGGAAGTCCAGTCGCATTGTAATTAGCCGTCGTTTTGATATAGTTCAGTTACCCGACGAGGCAAACGCTTTGCACTGAAGCGGTGAGCGTTGAGAGGCGGCAACCGTAATCGGATCGCATGCTAAGCCAACCAACAAACTCTCCCCGACAGTCAAACACTAGCAATTGCAGTGGCTATTACAGTGGAGCCTCTATAACTATAATCAAGTCTTACGTTTAATTTCGTTTTTTTGCTGATTTTTTAAAGATATTTTTGAAGTATATTTAAGGGAGTATGGTAATCCAAACTCAGAAAGATAAAACATTTTATTCATATTCTTCAATCAAAGAATATCCTTGTAGGGAAACCCACCTGTAAAGGTACATAAATCTACTAAAAAAAAAGTGTACTTTTACCACTGCAAATTGCAAGCTGATATGGGGCGTCTGTTGGTTTCCCCGCAGGTTTCCCGCCAGGGGTCTTGCATGCAATGTGAGCTTAGTCTAAGCTACGCTCCAAACCTGCACTTTCTATAGGTGCTTATATGTCTATATATTTATGTACATATATTCTTTTAGTATACCATATTTAATCAGCTTATGACTGGTGAAAATCATTCGCTCTTGCTGTGACTAATGCACCTTTTATGTGGCCTCCATCTGATTTTATTATACTTAATCACTTACATCTCGTTTGCTAATCATGCATTTAGTCTGTGCCTATATTAGTCATACGGCTAAGGCTGAACTTTGACTATCAAGTTTATAATACGTGTCTAATATTTTAAACACAAACAATTAAATCAAATAGTACTTCCCTTATAGTAAAGCTTTATATAGAATCTAAGTATTAATGATCGGCTTTGATCATACTGAATTTTTCTATGGGTAATAAATATTTCATTGCAATAGCTATAATAATAGTTTTAGATGTGGAAAGGTTCTAATCGATCGTTTGTATGGTACCTATATGATATAGTCGTCCGATTTTTATGAAATTTGCCACAAAATTTAAAACTTATATAAAATGGCTATACCTCAAATTGGATTAAAATCAGCTGAAAACTAAAAAAGTTATAAATTTAATTGTATTAATTTCCGGATCGTTCCTATGGGAGCTATATGATATAGTAATCCGATTTTCATAAAATTTTACACAACATTTTAGAATAATATGAAATGGCTATATTTCAAATTTGATTAAATTCTGTTGAAAACTAAAAATGTTATCGCCACCGCGATTGTCAGTCTTCCGACAACAGCCACCGCCATTCTCATTCCTCTCAAATTTCTCGATCGTTCCTATGGGAGCTATATGATATATTAGTCCGATTTTCATAAAATTTTACACCAAATTGTAGAATAATATGAAACGGCTATATCTCAAATTTGATGAAAATCTGTTGAAAACTGAAAATGTTATACTTATTAATTGAATTAATTTCTCGATCGTTCCTATGGGAGCTATATGATATAGCCGTCCGATTTTCATAAAATTTTACACAAAATTGTAAAATAATATGAAATGGCTATATCTCAAATTTGATCAAATTCTGTTGAAAACTAAAAATTTAATAATTTTTTTTGTAAAACTTTTCCGATCATTCCTATGACAGCTATATGATATAGTCGTCCGATCCGGCCCGTTCCGACATATATACGAGTGAGAGTATATAGAAGACTAACTGCAAAGTTTCATTCAGATAGCTTCAAAACTGAGAGACTAGTTTGCGTAGAAACGGACAGACGGACAGACGGACATGGCTAGATCGACTCGGCTGTTGATCCTGATCAAGAATATATATACTTTATATAGTCGGAGGTGCCTCCTTCACTGCGTTGCAAACTTCTGACTGAAATTATAATACCCTGCAAGGGTATAAAAATTAATGCATAGTTTCATTCAAATAGTTTGCTCTTAAATTTGTCCCAAAACAAATCTCGCACATGTGTGCATATGATTCCCAACTAGTTCTAACATCCCCGAAACGAAGTGCCTTCTATGGGCCATGTCTCAAATATGTGTTGTGTTACAAAAGTTGCAAGTCATTGTTTATTAGTGTTCAAAGTTAGTAACTGATCATACATACTTACTGGTCATAGATACTTACTGATCATAATTACTTACTGCTCATAAATGTTTACTGATTATAGTTACTTATTGCTTATAGATACTTACTGTTCAGAGATAATTAGTGGTCATAGATACTTAGTGTTCATAGTTATCATATCATCATATCATATGATTCCCAACTGGTTATAACATCCCCGGAACGAAGTGCCTTCTATGGGCCATGTCTCAGATATGTGTTGTGTTACAAAGTTGCAAGTCATTGTTTATTAGTGTTCAAAGTTAGTAGTCATACATTCATATCGCTCATAGATTCTTTCTGATCATAGTTACTTATTGCTCAAAGATACTGAGTGTTCATAGATACTTACAGTTCAGAGTTACTTTCTGCTCATTGTTAATTACTGGTCATAGATATTTATTGATTATAGTTACTTACTGATCATAGTTACTTAATGCTCGTTGATACTTACTGATCATAGATAGTTACTGTTCATAACTAAGCCCAAAAAGGCATTAATTTCAATTCGGAAAACTTTTCTGTGCCAGATTTTATTACGGCAATAAAACTACATATATGGCCCTTATAAATTTTTTAAAATTTTGAAAATAGAAAATTAATTTCCTCCAGACATGGCTTCTGCGATTCAGCTGTTGATGATGATCAAGAATAAATATGATTTATTGGATCGGAAATGACTCTTTCACAGTGTAAGGGTATAACATAAAATAAATTTTTCATTGACGTGCCACTCCCAAGTTTTGCAAAAATATTCTTTCCCCCATTTCTTTCTATGCCAGTCTTGGCCAAAGAAATATAATTTGCACGAGTGGCTCTAGACACATAAAACCTGTGGCTTCGAGGGTTTTCTCTCGCTATTTGCCCAAATTGGACATGGCCAAGAGCTTAAGTGCCGCTTGCTGGGGACTGCCCACTGGGAGCACTCTCGGGCTACTTGAATAATCGAGTCAGTCCCGTCAGCTGAGGAAGTCGGCCCACATTAGCATTCGTTCGCTCTCCTCCGCCCACCGGATTTGGATCCGCAAAGGAAAGCCAGCCAAGCGGCGTCAGAGTTTGAGCTTTGATTGGTGAATGCCAAACTGTAAATGTTCTCGTAATTAGTGTAGCGGTAAAAATAATGATTAATCATCAGCCATTGTGTTTTGGGTGTGCATTTGCATGAAATCTGACAGAATTTCGGTCTTTTTACAAATTATTATTCTGTTGCTAAATTTAAATATCTTTGGAAGAAGAAAATATATTCTTTTGAGAAGATATATTATATACCTCTTAAGTAAATACTTTACTTTTTATAGAAATTTGTCAAAATTTCACTTTTCATAAATCAATCTATTCTCTTTCAAACATTAATCATTTCCGAAATTCAGGTCAAATCTGTGTCATAAAAGAATATTAATTATATAACAATAAAACAAGCTAACCGAAGATTGTATACCCTTGCAATTTGCAATTGGATCAGGGAATAAATTTGAAAGTTAGTTATGACCGAACTAACCAAAAAAAAGCATTAATTTCTTAATATTTTTTGGAAAAATCAAAGTTTAAGAAAACGATAACTAAGTCAAAAATGCATTAATTTCAATTCCGAAACCTTTCCTATGCTAATATTTATTAGATTAATAAATATATATGATTAATAGGGTCGGAAATGACTCCTTCACTGATTAAAATATAATAAAAATCATATATTTTCGTTAAAATGCATTTCTAGTGAATGAAGTCAGGCACAGTTTTAGACTTTATCTAGATATTAAAGACCAAGTTAAAGATAGTTATATCTTATCCTACGGTCTGTAGGTCCCCAATTTTCGCAACTGTCAGAAAAAGTAGAATGAGTAACGGCCCAGAAAAAGAGAAATGCTTACGTGCCATGGACATGCTTTCTTGTTGTGTTTATATGCATATAGATTTTTATACTTC